CATCATCACTGCTGCTTTGCATGCCATGATGGGTTAGTTGCATTTTCTCCCTGCCTGCAGACATTTCACTTTCATGTTTTGTGCTCTGTCTCATGGTGTTGAAGTCTAGTCTTACCCAGGAGCATCAGGAGTATTGGGGCTTGTTGGGGCTGTTGGAGAAGTAACACACCCTGCCCTGGGTCCTTCACCATCCTCTGTGTGCTGTGGCCATGTGTCCTTTCACAGTTCTGTCCCTTGGACCTGGGCAAAACTATGGAGGAACCCCTGGAAATCCCATTTCTGGCTGTTCTTGGTTGGGACACCCAGAGGAAACAGACTCTGCTGCAGAGGCTTCTCTGCAGGCAGCACAGGAGAGGGATGGGGATCACTGTACTGGGTGTTGCTGTGAATTGGCACCCTTGTCTTCATGCAAGGTACTCTTCAGCACCCTGGTACTGAAAGGATTAAGCTGCTTGCTTCAACCAAACTCAGCAGGATACCTGCCTGTGGGATTCATTGTGAACGTGGATCAGATAAGGGAGGGAGTGGTCAGGGGAAGAGATGGCTCTTGGTTCAGGGATCCCAGCTCTCCGCACCCAGCAGTGTTTGGATCCAGGCTGGCATTGCTCCTAATCCTGGTTAGTACCCCTAACAACCTCCCTGCTGGCCTACTTGGAGAATCCCACTCCATGGTCCTCTGGCACACCTACACCACATGCAAGGCTGATGCTGTGGTTGTGGGGACACACAGGGGAGGGAGGCTGTGTTCTGCTGCCTCAGAGAGCTGACTTGGCTTGCTCAATATAGAAAAACCACAGCAGGAGGAAGGGCAGGAGCATCCCTTCTGGCAGCAGCAGGGTCTTGGGTCAGTTTAAACCAGGGAGTGTGTCTGGTTTCAGATGAGGCTTGGGGCTGCATTATGCCATCCCTCCCTGGCATGCTGCAGGTATGTCTCTACATAGCCAGGCTATACCCACAAACTCAGTGTTTCTCCAAAATGGCTTCTTTGGATGTTTCTCCCTCTTGTTACAGTCCCATATCCAGTTCACAACTGCCTTGCACATAGGAACATCCAGAATGAGATCCAGAATGAGAGTGAACACACACCAGCACTGTGCTCCAAGCACAGGGTGATGCCAACTCCAAACTCATCCCACCTCTGCGCCATGCACTGCAGCCTGTGTCTGACAGTGGGGCACAGCAGAGCTTGTCCCTGGCTCTGGAAAGAGTCAGGGCAGGGGATAGTGAGATGCTTGTCACCCCTGACCAAAGTCTGTGAGGAGCCACCTGCTCATTTCTAGCACTTCCCTTTGGCCTGCCACCCATCTCCTCTCCCCTGCTGCACAGAGGGATGCAGAGACAGATGCCTCTGTCAGAGTGGAGCAGGCTTGGCTTGTTGGAAACGAATGGGAATTTGATTATGCTGCTCTGCAGAGCAGGGCTAATACGATTAAAAGGCCAGCAGGCAGGACTTGGAGGAAGGAGATCGCCTCTCTGTCTCCTTCTCCATGCTGACAGTGGAGGCTCTCCTTTCCTTCTTCCTAAGCCCCTGAGCTGCCCTGGTTGTCCTGAGACTTCACAAACATCCAGAGTCCAGATCTGAAGGCAAAAGGAAGAGAAGACAACAGAGAGTTGTAACCATCTTCCCCTGGGCCACTCAGGGCTCCTACCTCCCTCTCTCCAGCACCTCCTGCCAGCTCTCCCCTCTGGCCTGCCTGCTCTATGACCAAGCTCGCTTGCTATTTACATTACAAAGCAGCCCCCTCTGCTCCACTCCCCGGGTTATATTTAGCTCCCTGGCACAGAACAGCCTGTGAGTTGCATTAGCTGCATCCTATGTGCCAGCCAGGGGACGGCACTGAACAGCCGAGGTGCCGCACATCTGCCCAGCGGGGACCGGAGCTGACTGGGGGGGCACGCAGGGACACAGGGCCCCTCTTCCCGCTGCCAGGGATGGCTGTGTGGAGCCCTCCGGCGTGTGGGCTGGTCTGGGCGCCACTTCTGAACGTGCCCGAGAGCCGAAGCGTAGGAGTCTGACACCTGGCACGGAGCGGAGCCTGCAGAGAGCTCGTACAGGAGCTTTTGTGTGCTTGTGGTTTCCTTTCTGGGTAAACACCCCTCCGGGCCGGTTTGCTGGAAGCAGTGGCAGTGACAAAGGCTACTGCTGCAAGCATCACCATGAAAGCAATGATGAAATTGAGAGGGAGCCCACAACTGCTCAGGAGAGGTTGCAGCGTGCTGCTGTGACCTGCCACCACCTGTCCCAGGCCTCTCTGGCTCCAGGTCAGCTTTCCCTACAGCAAAGTTCTGCCGGCCTCTAACTTGCCCTACTGCCACTGGAGCTACCCCACTCTGGGAGCTAGAGATGATCCTGTCTCACCACAAAACCTTGGTGGAGACACCCAAGGCAAGCAGGAGCTGACTTTGGACTTCCCTTGGCCAAAGTGACTGTCTGGAGATTGAGGCACACAACTCTGGTGTTTGCTCTAGGTTTGCTGTGGTGACAGAGGGCATTGGGTTCTTCTGGCACTGCAGAGGCACCTCCCTGCTGGGCAAATTGTCCCAGAATGTGCAAATCTGGTGCACAAGCCAGCATCATTAATAAGTTTGGCACGAAACTGCTACTCAAAGCCCTAAATATAACCTGAGTGCTGAGCTCTCTTCCACCCGCCCAAGGCGCCTCCATACACTGTGGCAGCTATTTATGGAAAGAACTTTATTTCCATGGGATTAATATAATTTCTGCTCATTTCTAAATCTTTATATAGCAGCCTATGCCACCTGCCCCTCATGATGACTAATGAGTCCCAGCAGGAGCAGGTAGGTTGGCAGCAAGGGGACTTGGGCCTCCAACCTTCAGCTGACATTGAGGATAACTGTGATGCCCACAGCTCACGGAAAAAGTCCTCCAAACTCTGTATCAGGGTTCAGTAAGTGTCTCCAGAGCTAAACAGCACAGCAAGGGGATTTCTGTCAGTCCCCTAGGACTTTCCATGCTGCAGGAGGGGCACATGATGGAAGGCTAGCCCACCTCTGGGTAGCAGCTCCATCACCACCTGACCTGCCTGAAGAAGCAGCCAGACCCAAAACCACATGGGCATCACAGGACCGAACAAGCAGATTTCCACTCCCAGATACTTCCTTTCCCATTTCTCCTTCCCTTTGCTTGACCATCCAAAACACAGGGTGGAGGAATCAGCTCATCCCAAGCACCATTTCTTCCTTTGCTGCTGGCCTGCAGGTTGCTGTGGCACTTCCTCCAACCTCTCAGAATCCTCTCTTCTGCAAAGCCTGCATTGGACAGGACAAAGTCCTTTGCAAAGAGACCCCTTGTGAGGGTTGTGTAAAACAGAGGGATTTTGTGTAAGGCCAGCACAGGCTGGAACACGTCAAGTGAGCCACCTGCTTGGGGTGGCTGGGACAGGATGGGCAGGGTGTATAAAATCCCTACCAACCTTGGGTAATTCTGGAACAAATTCAGGCTGATAATTTAGGTTGCAGTATGCAACCTGGGGAGGCTGGAAAATTGCAGCTGGCTAATCTGTTTGCAAAATGCATTGTGCACATCTGGAGAAGACAGCTAAGAGGAGAAAATCCTGCTCTGCTTGGCACAGTAATTCTTCATCCTCTGTGCCATCAGGGCAGGGACCCTCCCAGCTCTGTCTGGTGCCTCAGTGAGCAGCCCTGGGTACAGAATGAGGACCAGGAGAGCTGTGCATTGCCCCAGCTTCTGGCAAAGCTTAAGGACACTGGGTACCTGGGGAGGTCTCTGCCACCCTGGCTTTTGCTTGCCACCCACCACACAAATAACAAGTGCTGGGGATGAGTCAGCTTCGAGGCCCCTCCTGCTCTGCAGGCACTAATAAGTTTTCCCATTAGTTCCCATTACTGCAGTATTAGAGAACAATTTACTCACAGCTTGCACTGAAGCCCTTACAAGGGGGGAAAAAGGGCTGCTGTATATGTGGGAGTGCAGATGGGGTGGAGGGGTGACCAACAGCTCCTGACCAAAATCTTCCCCCCAGCAGAGGTCTGCACCCCAGGGTCCCCAAGGCCCAGACCAGAGGCAGGACAGCTCATGCAGCCTCTGTCTGCCATGGCAGTGGGCATGGTACCAAGATCCTCCATGTCAGTTTTCAACCTGCTTGTAAACTATGTGGCACTTGCTGAGCATGGCATGTCATGGTGACATGGAGCTCAGAAGGATGCAGACATCTCCGTGCCAAGCTGGCTCTGGAGAATGGTAAGCAGGCAGCTCCTCCTCTCAGTCCAGACTCACAGCAGTCCAGGGTCAGTCCTGCAATGCTCATGTTTAGGGCATGTGCAGGGTCAAAGGATTTCTACTCACTTACACCTGAGAGCCATTCTGCAAAGATGGGGAGCAGTAAATCACAGAAGGGCTTAAATACCCTTCTAGCAAAAGAAAAGACAAGGTGGTACACCAGACCTTTTTTTGTGAGAAGAACAGAGCTGAAGTCCTGGAGATACTAACCCAGGCAGGATTTTAGACATTATGGTTGGAACTGGGAGGAGGAGCTCACCTGGCTATCACCAGGCAGTGGCTCCCATAACCCCCATGAGAACTATGAGAACCACTCTTCATCTCTGCCAGCTTTGCTTGGTGATAGCAGGGGTGGGTAAACACAGGAGTTGCAACAGAAGAGTCGCACCAAAAGCCAGGACAGATATCCTCTTGCTGCAAGGAACGCTCAAAAGGCCCAGACCACTGCCTAGGAGGCATCACAGCCCCAGGATGGGAAGGGGGAGTTGGGTAGAAGGAAAATAAAGGGGTCTGCAAAAGTGATAATGAGACTGCCACTGCAGAGGGAGCTGTTGCATGCAATGGGAGGCAATGGACTAACTGGTTGCCTTGTCTCTGTGCTGTGATGTTTTCTGGTGGGAATGTGCTGGTGGTTGGTGGAAAGAGACAACTCTGACCCCATGAGAGGGAGATGCCTCAGGAACAGGCCATTCCAGTACCCCGGTGCAGCCCTGACACTTGGGGACCCAGGTGTTCCTACCTGTAGGAGACCTGCTTTCTGATGGCCAAGTGCAGGAACTGCTCCTTCACCTCCGCCATGGCCACTGCCCCTCTCATCTCCTCCCAAGCTGGATCCATGCTGCGGGGGCCCAAGCGTTGTTCTCGCCCAGTGCTCTCTGTATATGATGCTCCCTGGAGGTTTGCTGTGGCTCCCCTGGCCACCTCACCATCACTCCTGGCAGGGGAGAAGTCTCTCCAGCTCCCGGGACCTTCAGCCATGCTGGAGTGAGGTGTCTCTCTAGGCAAGGAGTCCCACTCTGCCCCCAGAACTTCTTGGGCAGCCCGGTCTTGTCCCACAGGGTCTCACAGTGCTGCTCTGCTTCGCCTCCCCAGGGCCGTGAGACAATCCCAGCAAGGCTTAACTCCCTGAGGGAGCACAAGCATGAGAAAAAACAGTGTCCAACTTTTTGCAGTGGTATTTATCAGCCTCTTGATAGCAGCCTGAATAGCTCAGATGCATCAGCTCAGCCTCCTGCCGTCTCTAGTGCCCTGCTGCTCTGAAGCCAAGGAATATCTGACACACACCCGGAGACGTTGGTGCTGCTCCTCGGAGGTGCTGGCACTGTGAGAGCAGAGGGGAGGGAGTGGGGAACACAGCGTTCACTGAAGAAGCACAGTCCAGGGATAGCGATGCTTGCAAGTGAGCGAAAAAGAGCTCGGATTGCCTTCCGCGAGGTCCCTCCGGAGCCAGGCACGGCCGTCACTGTCCCCGGCAGCAGCAGCTGAGCGGGAGCAGCAGGGAAAGGTAGGCAGCGAGCAAAGTGCCTGTGCACAAAGCCTGGAGCAGCTCTCAAAAGACAAAGCAGAAAGTGAGCATGAGCGTGTGCTGTGTGTGTGGGGAGGGGGCTGCGGGGAGCTGTATCCAGCAGGCAGCCTGGTGTCACCTTAGAGACACTTGAAACTGGCACTTAACTCTTCAGAGTCTGGGAAGGCAGAGGAGAGTGGCAACTCAGCTGCCCCTCTCTGCCCTCAGTCCAGCTGGCACCTGCCTGCCTGCAAGGGCTGCTCAGGAGGCTGGGTCTTGGCCACTTGTCTTAACCAGACCTGCTTTCAGGTGAAGTCAGGTAGCCTGGAAAACTGCATGACAGCAGCAGCCCCAGCAGAGCAAAGTATCTGCTGTTGTGTCCAATCATCCATCATGGATGACATCTGTCCAGGGACAGGGTCCCCAGCTGTGGACAGTGATACCCATCTGAGCAGAGATAGTGCTATAGCATGACTTCTGTCTTTCTAGTTTGCTCACTCAGCTCCTTGCCACTTAGGAGGCTGCATTATTCCTTATTTTTCCTTATTCAAGTCAATTTTTCTCCAATCTTGGCATCCAGATGTAGAAATGACCTTTATTCTCTGCCCACATATATCAGAAAAGTTGCATCATTTATTTGTCCTGGGCTGAGGCTGGACTTTGTGACCCCAGTCCAAGCCCACCCTCATGCTGTGGATGTCAGCTGGGGTAAAACAGCCCTATAAAGCTCCCATATGTGCCTGATCTGTCCCAGATTCACATGCTGTGCCTTTACCTGCTAGGCCCTGGAAAATTCAAAGTTTGTGCCTATAAGAGCCATCCCCTGCATCATGGCAAGGTCCTACAGTCATGTATTGCACAAAGAGCACATTGCAGTCACCTGTAATCCCAGTGTTTTCCCATGAAAGTCTGACATGATGGGAGCAGGAACCCATCCTCAACCTGCTCTGACTGTTGTATCTCCATCAGGAGCATCTCATCCCTCGTGCCAGCACTCTCCATCACCTCCATATGGCCCTGTGGCACCTCTGCTGCAGGGTGCTGTGGAACAACACATTCCCATGCCACTTTTCACCCCACCTGGGAAGCAGCAGGGGCTAAGGAAGTGCTGTGCCTTTTCCTGGTAACCACAGTCCACTGGCACCTCCAGTTCAAGTTACCGAACCTTTGTCTGGCCCTAAAAGTCACAATGACATCTCTCTCTGGCTGCACTCCTGGGGGATTGTTTCTCTCAGGGGCACAACAGCCCCCAAGCCCACTCCTCCACGGAATCGTGACTATCAGGGAGCCCCAGCCCTCCTCGCTGTGTGACTCAGCCCCTCCAGCCCCCACAGGGGTTTTGTTCTCCTTGAAAGCTGGAGTGCTACTGGGTGAGCCCTCCCCCAGCAGCACTGTGCACGAGCACAGCTGGCCCTGGAGAAGCAGCTTCATCTTCCCTTGCGGGGACACAGACCTGCTTGGGAGCTTGCCAGTACTCCCTGCATGGGTGCATGGCCCTGCTCCATGTCCTCCTGCTGCCCACAGAGGCTGGGAGCAGGCTGTGGAAAGGGAGAAGCAGCGGGTACCCAGTGGCACCTGTTCTTTTCACCACCCACAGTGAGATGCTTCTCTTTCTGCCCTGGGCTCTTCCTGGCCGAGGGAGCCTCTGTTGCCATGGACTCTGGGATCCACCTTCACCTGTGCCAGCTGGCTGTCAGGGTAGGACAAAGATGGGCTGCCCAGAGGAGCTACAGGGGATGCAGGATGCTGGTCCCCTCTTACTCCCAGGGAATTTTGGGAAACACCTGTTTTGTCCTTAATGGTTAAAGAAGTTTGTAGCCACCAGGCTGGGGAAGTAAAGACCAGTCAGGGATGGATACAAATAGGAAGTTGGGTGAGAGCAGGGTCTAGACTTTCAGGTAGAAAGGAAGGCAGAGCATTTCTCACTTGTGTTTGTGTCAGTGCCATAGGAAAGGAGCTTCAGGGTGGAAGCAGAGGCCCTTATTGCAGGCACAGGAGACCCCCGAACCAGGCACAGCAGAGCCCTGAACTAACAGCACCTTTGGTCAAGTCAGAGTAAAGGCTGGACACTGGCTGCCTCCTGCATTCCCCAGGGGCCTGATCTTGCTCCACAGAAACCGTCTCTGTGGGAGGAACTGCCAACAGAGGATTTCTACCTTTCTACCCACATGCCAGACTTTATAACTGTCACAAAGGCAGGGTGGGCCAGATTTTGTCTGGAGGAGACATCCCAGGATATGCCTGCATGAGGTGATGCAGTGGATTGCACAGGCTTCTGCATCTCTCTCTGCCCATCTGACTCTGCTGGATGTTTCGTGTTTTTGTCATGAATGGGGTCACCTTTCACTTGGAGCTCCCTGAGGACTTGGGAAGAGCAAGCAGATGCTGTCTGAGGATGATGGGGCTGGACAGTAGGATTGGGTCAGTCCTGTCCTCCTGGCACCCTTCAGCTGAGCCAGGTCATCTGCTTATCTGCATACCCGGGGGCCATGCAGGAGTGTGCCTCTCCTGTGCCTTGAGTAGGGATTTCCTTCTGTGTGGCCATGCAGTGCAAAGGCATATTGGTATTTACCATACAGACTCTATCCTTGTTTTTGCAGGCATAGGCAGAACACGAGCTTTCTAGGAAGCAGCATTTCTAGTGAGTAAAGCTCTGTGAAGGTACAGTTGCCCGGGCACAAGGAAAACCTCCACCCTGCTTGCCTCTAAGCCCCATTTCAGCCACCAGATTAGAAAATCAACACAGATTTGTCAAGTCAGTGTCCATCCAGGTGCTATCACTGTTAACAATCCCCCCAGGCACCTGGGGGTTGTGTGGGGGTGCAACTTCCCCAATTTTCCCCAGAAGGTGTCCAAAAGCCCAGACTTCTTGCCTGGTAGCAGGACAAAAGCCTGTTTGTCCCATGATGGATATGTGAGAAAACTGCTAGCACAACTCCCAAAAGGGAACAGCAAGAGTGCTCATGCCGGGCTCAGAGAGCATGGATACTCTTCTGAGAGCCCTAACAGCACATGTCCTTCTGTAACAAAGCATACCCACCAGGCTGCTGCCATGCACTGCCAGTAACACTTTTGGCGGCAGCAGCAGCAGCAAGCGACAAAACTTAAGTATTTTATCTTTTTTTGTTGTTTTTAATTGGCTTGTTAACAGAACAGTCAGGAATAATTTGTCTCTGAAATATGAAGTCCATGTTCTGTTAGCAATTTTTTGTTCAGGGCTCATATGAATTGACAGTGCAGAGGCTTCTGAGAAATGTGACCCTGAGTGGGCAGAAGACCAGCTTGTTGTGGCAGAGCTCATCTGGGGCACTTGGAGCAGACCAAGCACAACCGAGTGAGGCTGAAGGTGACTTGTAAAGAAGGTGACTCTTGCTTTGCTAATTCTCTCAATCTGCTCTAATTAGTTGCTGTAGCCAAATTGGTAAGTGTGATTGGCTGGTGCATTTTGGGATGCATAGTGGGGATCAAAATATCCTAATGTGTCTGCTTTGAGCAGCTCAGAGATATCTGGTAGACTGCAGAATTAGGAGGATTTGTCAATATGAAGGGAAATTTTCTCCTGATGGAAAGGTTCTGATTGGTCTGGCTGTGTTAAAGGAGGCAAAGCCTGAGAACTCATCCTTTTAAGAGCTTCCCTCTTGCACCTGTTTTGGAGTGTGCATGAAGGATGCAGGCCAAAATCTCCTGGGAAGGCAAAGAGCTGTGTGAAGTTTCACAGGGTTGAGCAAAGCAGGGCTGAGCCCTCCCTCTGGATAAAATCTGATGAGTGCAGGGAGCAGCCCCACCCCATAGTGGGGGAAGGTGCTTGATACAGGGTTAGAAGGCTGCTTTTGGACAAGGTGCTGCAGGGAAAACATCAGATTCTCAACTCACAACTAGTTCTGGCCCAGGAAGAAGCTGCAGGGCAAGGTCAGGCATTTCCATGCATTGGTGGGTGGGCAGGGGGGAGGGAGCTCTGCATGGGTCTGCAAAACCATGTCAGGCTAACCTGCCATGGATCACACATCAAACTCCCTCTTGGCAGTACAGACCTGGCTGAGAAGAGAGAGCTCCTGTTTCTCCCAGACACTGTTCAATGGCCAGCTCAGTCAAAACAGTGAGGCAACAGCTTTACTCCTCTCCACAAATAAATTATCTGCAGAAAGAGACCTTTGTAATCCCCAAGCTTTACATTCTGCTGTGGCACAGCCCTGCTGTACCAGCCCAGCCAGAGGTGGGGGGAGATAAAGAGACCTTATAACATCTTTGAAAGGTGCTCCTGCTTGGGCTGCCTTCCAAACGTGGAGGGCTGACTACAAGGAGTTGCTTCAATGGCCAAATTCTAATGAACTCACTTGAAGCTTGCTAGAAAATGAAAATTTGTTTTCTAGACACTCAGTTACTTTGTGTTTCACACAAAATCAGGACAAAACTATCAGTTTTCACAGGTGTAAATGGACTGTCAGAGGAACAGGCTGACAGCCAGCCAGAACCCAGGTTGTTCCCCATTTAAGTGCAGTTGCCCTGCTTTTACCGTTAATGAAAAGATTTAGGTATTTTTTGAGACAGGATAGGACCATCATGCTATGTCTTTGTTGTACACACCCCTGCACAGCCTCTTCATTGAAGTAGCTCTTTGCTCCTCACATACTTTCTTCCATGATCTTCCTCATTCCAAGAAGATGATAGTGGTATTTCGAGGGGGAAAAAGAAACTGAGGCAGAAGAATTCTGACTTATTCAGAACTACAGAAGAAATGGCAATGACAGTGCTGTTGGAAATAAAACATGCAGGTTTGTTTCTAGCCCCTGACATGGAGCATGAAGTCCCAGTACGGAACCAGTTTTGCACATGGCCAGGGAACAGGAGTGGGAGCAGGAGGTGAGGAGCTGTGATGTGGGCTGGCATGACAGCTATGCCTCAATGAAAGCACCTGTCAACCCAGAGCTGATGCTGAATCTTTTTATTTTATTTTTATTTTGCTTCATAAAGCAAATGCAGAGCAAGTGATAGAAGGAGGAGAAAGGATGGTTTGAAAACAAACAAAACAAAAACCACAAAAGAAAAAAAAAAAAACCAAACAAAAAACTAAGAGGGAAGAAGCAGCTGCTGGAGTATAAGTGGAAAATGAGCTGCTACAAGAAAGAAGTTCATAGATGCCAAGCCCGCA